GGGGGGCGGGAAGGAGATGTCTCCGTCTTCCTTCGGGCGGCCGGGCAGGGCGCGGGCAGGTGCTGGGGACCGTTGTTTTAAATGATCGGTGCCGTGTTTTCTCATGTCGGTGCCGTTCTCTTCAGCGAACCTTAAGACACTTCCCAGTTTTGTGTGCGGGGAAAAGCGTGTACAAGTTTGGCAGCGGAGGAGCGCAGAGCAACTCCGGCCGCTCTGTACTGGTTGCGCCTTGGTAACCAAGTGATGCAATATCAGTCAGCTACCGCTTGTCTTCACCTCAGCCTGCTGATCGCTTTTCTTATTGCTTTCCAAGATCACTGTACATCCAGGAAATTCCGCTTTTCAAATCATGGAGGCAGAACAGATGATGGAGGGACAGCCGCAGGTATTGCGAGAAGTGTTTTACATGCATCATGCTACACGTGTAAGAGGTGCATTTCTGCTTTGCTGACCGTGTATTATTTTCCAGGTTCCAGAAAACCCCCATTCTGAATACGGCCTCACTGAAAACGTAGAGGTAACAAAGATTTCATTGCTGTAAAGTGCAGTGGAAGTCACATTCTTGATCAAAGGGAAAAATGTTGCGTCTTCAGTCTAACTTAAGCCTATGTAATGTTCCCAAGAAAGTTAGGTGGAAACCGAACCAACAGATAGTAGTCGCTTGCATAACTGGCTGTTAATTAATATGTTTGCTGTTGTGTTGCTTCCATTATACTAAATGGTACTTAAGTAACTACAAACATTTTAATGAGGTGGGATTTTTTAGAAGTATGGTATGTTCCATTAATATATTGTGCCACAAAAAGCCAGCTAGACTTTTATTATAGGGAGGGGAATAGGAGGAGTTAATGGGATTTCTATAAAAGTATCAAAGAGAGGGATTCTTTTCATATCCTTGTAATTAGAAATATTGGATTGGAATAATCCAAGCTATCTTTAATTATGCTGAGAAAGAGTGGACACCATAAATTCTCTCCACTGTTGGTAACAGCATGGGTTAGAATAATAACTTTATGACATTTTTTTAGTCTTCCTCGTTAAAGAAAAGCCTTCAGTCTCCCTCTGTTATAAGCTCCTGCGCTATGCTAAGCTTTTGCAGAAACTTTTCTTAAATGTCCTTTATGACTCCTCTCCCTGATAACTGCTTGTCTATCTGCCTCAACTTCCACTACAGAACCATGACACGTTGGATACATTGATCCCATATCGATAGATTTGTGTATGTTGCATTGAATAAGTTTGGTGTATGGACAGTGGCAGAGTATCCTTCTTAACTACAGTTAATGGTGTAAGATGATTCAGCGCTTTTTGATCAAAAGGCACCTGGAAGCGTTTTGCGTATGTTTTCTTCAAAGTGTCCATCTCTGCTTTAATAGAGGACGGTCTCAAAGTGCTTGACTTTAACAGAGTCCCCTTTGTCAGACTTCACCTGAATTTCTAGTGCTTTTAGCATTTTGTGTTAAAAGTGCATGCACACAGGAGCCATTTAATTGGGACCGTTCTTGTTGGTAGTCATTCCTGTCTCAGTGGTGTAGAATTTAAATGTGAATGCAAAAGCAGAAATAACAATGATAGAGATTGGGTGTCTTCTGTTTTGGAAAACTTACGACTTCCTAACATTGCTTCCCCAAGACATAAGAATTTAACAGAAGGGTTCTCTGGATTAGATTTTTGTGCAAGGGAAAATACACGATTGAATTTTCTTACAAGATGTAAAGAAGTTATCGCCAGTGAATTGCTGAGAAATTGGTACTTAGTTTGCCCTCATACTTCAGAGTAGATGTGGCTGCTATTATCAATGTTCATTCACTTTTTTTTCTACTTTAGAGGATAGTAGAAAATGAGAAAATAAACGCAGAGAAAACATCAAAGCAGAAGGTGGATCTTCAGTCATTACCCACACGTGCCTACTTGGATCAGACAGTTGTACCTATCTTGCTACAAGGACTTGCTGTTCTTGCAAAAGAGAGGTAAGATGCTTCAGTGTTCCTTTGTTCTTAGGAAAAAAGTAGGTTTCGAACTTGGGTAGTATGTCACCTTTTCAGACCTCACACACCAGACGTGGGTTTGCTAGTTTACTAGTTGTAAGAAAGTCGATACAACAGGTTTATGAACCTATGAGTGACTGTGACTGACCATGCAGGACGTGTTCCTCTCAGGTGCATATGGCCTGATAAGTGTTATTTATTGAATTTCTGCTCTCCCAGTGAGGTATGCTACTGTAAAGGTTTTGGAGGGAAAAAGGTATTTTTAAAATTAATTTTATCACATAATTCACCTTTATAGAAGCAAGGCAATAAGTTCTAGTTTGAAGAAGATTTTCGTAGTGTGCAATCATTAAAAGTTCTGCTTGCCATTTAAAAGACAGACAGACGGACGAATTGGGCCCGACAGTTTGAACCGCATTGTACAGACAGCTAATTAGGCAAAAGAGGACCTAAGAACGTACACCCTGTGTGTACGCTTTTTTTTTTCTTTTTTTAAAAAAATCTTTCTTCACTGTGGAGGGAGCTGTTCTTTATGGGGATTCACCACAGGTCTGAAATTGGAACATTGATAGAAGAGGTTGGGGAACGTACAGGAATAGGACTGACAGTATCAAACTGCCAAGGTCAAATGGGCTTTTCAGTTGAGCATATTAAAACCTCAGGGGTGACAAAGCTTAACCGTCAGCTCTGCTGTATAATCTTCTGCTTTGGAAAGTAACTAATGGATGTTAATTTCTTTTTTTTTTTTAAGGAATATAGAGATGTACAGGGTACAGCTTAGTACATCTGATGACTATGCCTGGAATTCAGGAGAAATTGTCATCCAGAATAGTTAGCATAGGGATAAATGACATATTTGGGAAGAGTCAACACAACTTTTGTCAGGGCTTATAAGTCTCTTGGAGTTTACTGAAGGAGTCAGTGAGCACATGTAAACATGAATCCACATGATAGTGTCTGCTTAAATTTCCGAAAGGCTTCTGGCACAGTCTTTCACTAAAGACTTTTAAAAAGAGTAAGTTGCTGTGGGATTAAAGGAAAAGCCTTTATATGGACAATGAACCAGTGAAGATAAGAGATAGAGGGTAGAAGTAAATGGTGAATTTTCATGGTGAAATGAGCTCAACACTAGAATCCCAGAAAGGATCATTTATAACTATTAGAAAAAGTGGCTGACAAAATTTGTTAATGGTACTGAATTTTAATGAATAGATTGGGGTTTTTTTTGTCTTTTTTTCCTTTTTTTTTTTTTTAAAGTTGATTGATTGTAAATACTTGCACAGGAACTTCATAAATTTGATGTGAAACTATGGAAGACTGCTATGAAAAATTGAATACAAATAAACAGAAAATTATGCACCTAGGAGGGTAATAAATACCCTAACGCCAGTGACAAGATGCTAGATTCTGAGTTCACAATTACCCTTGTGAAAAATATGTTTAAACTGTGAAATGTATATGTCAATGCCTTTCTCAATCAAAAATAAATTCTGAGTGGTCAGACTTACAAATTGAAGGGGTAAAACCAAGCATAATGTCACTTTACATGTATAGTCTTCTTATATTGGATGTAATTCCAGTTCCCCTATATTCTGGTACGGGTATTCTGGAAAAAGTAAGAAGAGTGACAAGGTGGTCAGAAGCATGGAATGCTGTCTGTGTAAGGAGTGATTGAACAGATGATACTTTAACCTGGAAAATAGGTTTCTGAGAGAGAATATACTAGGATCTGTTAAATCATTAATGGCATGGAGATGCTATATTGGTATGGATTGTTTATTATCTATTCTGATACAGTAATCAAATTGAGCTAAGAGGTAGTGAACTCATAGTGAAGAAAAGGAGGTGATCCTTCACAGGTCACACAATTAAGCTATATAACTTGCATCAGGTTGAGGACATTGATATTTTATTTGGGCTCAAGGGGCAACTGGTCAAAGTCGTACAGGAATCCACCCAAGGCTATTAAAGCTGCTAGCTCAGGAAGCTGGTTAACTGTGAATGTTGGAGGCCAAAAAGATGGTTAAAAAAAAAAAAAAAAAGTATCTCTGCATGCTTCTTCCATTCTTTATGCTTTTTATAGGCATGTTTGCTCACTACAGGGACCTTTGGTCTCACCCAGTGTGGAATAAATAAGTGTGCTGTTCATTTTGCAGGCAGAATCCAGATTAGCAGGATTCATGTGCTGCAGTTGAGGGAGCTTTTAAAACAGAATCTTACAGGCTAAGGCCAGCGATCAAAAGCGTGTATTATTGACTTGCAAGTTACAGCACTTTTGTTGCGTTCATCTAAAAAGAAACGGCAGTTACCAGAAACCATGCAAACAGCTGTAATGCAGAAGCTACACAAAAACCATTTCAGGAAAATGGAGGCGGTCAGCACTGACAGATTAACTTTTACTTGATATAGCATGAGCTAAAAACATAGGCAAATGCATGTGACTTCCAATGATGAACATGCAGTATTTATGCTTACAGGATATACTCTAGTTCTAGGTATGTAAATGTTGAACCAGTGGTGACTAAAACTCAGTAAAAACTTATTCATGAGACAAACTGGAAATGTACAGGTTAACTCTAGGTAGTTGTTCATCCCTAAATCAATGCTGATAAGTGTTTGTGAGGAGTTGTGTGTTGCTTTTCAGGGAACGTGATTAGTTCTTCAGCTACCTAATTTCATATAACAAAAAATAATTGCTTTTGATTTACTTTTTTCTTTACAGACCGCCAAATCCCATTGAATTTCTAGCAGCATATCTTTTAAAAAACAAGTCACAATTTGAGGACCGAAATTAACTCCATAAAAATGAGGACAATTTGGCTGCTAGATTGAAATGCTCCTTTGCTGCAATTTGTTTTCTGCTGTAAAAATCCTCTGGAACCATGATATTGTCTTTCTTAATCCCACAATTTGTTTTACCTTTTGAGTTATTTAATAAACAACACTTTTACATTTCATTTGTTCACTTGTTTTAAACTAGTTATTGAGAGACTTTCAAAATAAAGTACTGAAACTGCACTACTGATGATGAAAGGCTGAATAATTCTGTGGGGCTGCATCACCTGAATGCATGAAACAAAGGGGAAAGATTTTATTATGGGAATCACATCGAGTGACAATGTTGATTTTATAAAGCACCCTTCACGTGCAAGGTACCTAAACAGAAGGCAAGCAAGTTAAGGGCAGGTGGAATTTATTTTGAAGATGGATTGATTAAGTAGAGAGGGGACATCTTGCTTCAGAACACTAGGAAAATGGTTTAGTTAAAAGAATTGGGTTCAGGAGCTGAACAGATCAGCTGCAGACATTGTCCAACATTTCAAGTATTCACTAGGATCAAGTGTGCTGTTCAACATTTGTCGTTGATCTCCTGTGACCGGTGTGCTGGATTCAACTGAAACGCAGAACAAAGTTCGAAGGGACTTACAGAGGTTCTGTAATTCAGTTCTCTGTACTGCTGTCCCACAGTTAGAGCATTCTTTCTCTGTCAAAGATAATCCTAATCTATCCAGTAAAATATTGAGTCTTCTGATGAGATCTGGCTGTTAGTCCTAGTAGGAAGGCTCTCAATATTTTACATGTTTCTTAATATGCTAAAAGGGAAACATTGAATTAGTGTAGTCCAAGAGCAGTAAGACTGAGGAACAAGAAAAAACCTGCAAACCCAAAACCAAGCCTAAAAAGCTCTATTTTGGAAAACGTACAGAAACTGTGGAGCGAGATTACTAATTCTTTTGTGTTGTGGTGAACACGGTCTCCATCAAACACCGACGCTTAAAAAAGATACTGAAAGGATTTTAACAACTGTTTTGACTTTCTAGAATGAGTAATAACACTGAAGTGAAGACAAGGAGACACCATAAAGACTTGGTACTGCTATTTTTATTGCTAAAGCAGCATTGCAGAGTTTCATCCATAGGTGACAACATTGCAAGATTGTAAGCATTGTTACATGTGGAAACAAAACAAAAAATTCTATGCTGATCCCCAATTTCTATGTTGACAATTTGTGCAAGACCATACAAAAAGAAGCAGCTCAACTATTGATCTTCCCTAGACAGAGCAATTTTCCTATCATATATCACAATGCCTGAATTCAGAATACAATCAGATTTCTCATCTTACAGTAACACCCTCCAAGCAGCTGCACAAAAGCGTGTAAACACACTGGCTTTCTGCACAACTCTTGCATCAACCTAGAATCAAAAAGTATGAGTACCATCTCATGAAGGTGAGCTGTTGGTGCCACTGTTTGGTACATGGGGTCACCTGCTGTTGTCGTCCCATCTGGGCTAGTTCAAGAGAGTGAAAAAGCAAAGTTCACAAGGTGATGATAGATTTACTACAGCGGCTTTTCTGGGCAGCTTCCTCCAAGAGAATAATTTGAAATGTTACTAGCAGCTGTGAACTCACCAGCTCTGAGAAATAAATTTTAGGGATTCTTGCAAGGGTATGACAAGTCAACAAGAAAAGTGCAACCAATTTACTTATTGAATTGGCTTCACCAGTTAGGATCCGCTGCATAGAGAATATAACAGGAAGAAGATAGCAAGTTACTGTCTGAATAATCAAATCCTATCTGAATAGTCCAGTTCTTAGGGAAGTAATGATAAAGTCCAAATTTTCAAAGCATTTACTTGTTTTAAACTCCCCACTACAATACAATTAAAATTCTGTCGAGACTTGGCAGATGCTTGCTATCCCAATTTAATCCAGAAAGAAAGAAGTACTGTTTTTCCACAGGAAACGCCAGTTCTGCGGGCTTCAGGATAAATGTATTTAATTTTGAAGTACAAATTAAAAACCAAGTGATGTTACATTTATGAAAACGAGGAACTCATCTATACAATGGAGAGCATGTAAGGGGCCACAAGTTATTAATTCATGTAGAATAAAAGCTTGAAGAAACAAATGAAAATGGCAACTTTAGATATATGACAGACCACTGCCAAGTAGCTGAAAGCCATTGTCTTTTGATTCTTGAACAATTATTTTTCATTTTTTTCCACACTATCGTAGGTAACCAAATCAGTATATTCTCTGAAGGGCAGTAAAATTAAGCAGAAAGTAATGCGGGATACCTGGTTAACACCGAAGCACACCTTTCACGGTGACTATTTTAGATCCAATATCCAGAAGTTACTATTCAGTAACTGTGAAATTATTATATATGACTCATATGCAGTATTTTGAAGTCTGCCTTTTTACATGTTTCCACCGAGAACATTATCTTTTACCTTGAAGGGGACAGTGACAGAAGAAAGGATTTCCCACTAAAAGCAGTTCTGATCAAAGGGTTCTACATCCTTATATTTTGAAGCTTGTTACCACCTAAACCCACAGTTTGACTTACCAAATCTTTTTTCTTGCATCTCCAATTTATCAAGGACTTTCTCCAAAATCAGTACAGGTCTCAGCTGCCATTTCATTTCCTGAAGTGCTGTTGCTGTTGTAAATGCAGTCTGATCAAAAGAACTTCTATCTCCCCATCAGACGTTCTAGAAATAAATCGTCTGCTTTCAAACAAACGAAAAATCTCAAAAATTCTGAAAGATACAAGCAGTTGAAACCAGTAGGATGGAAAGGAAACACATGAGAAAAATCCCTATGCCTACCATGCTTGACAGAATATAGGTTTTGATTTATTCTTATCATTGTACTAATTACGTAACAAATTATTCTTAGCTGAGCCTTAGCTTGAGTTCCCTACTCTATTTCATAGTCAGAATTCATTTTAAGAGTGACTACATAGCCTGGATCACAGAAACGCAGAACACCAGCTGCTACAGAAAGAGTCATTTTACCATGATAACAAAAGTATCAGCACTACTAATGTTCGCTATTCGAATACAGTTTTAAGCGAGGACTTAAAATGTAAATGCTATGTGAATAACTACAGGGCAGTTTACAGCAGTGCTAGTGCAACATTGACTAGGAACCTGTCGTATTCCTCTTCCCAGTGTTTCTTCTCCAAGTTTGTTTTGCAATTGTGCATAATAAACCAGTTTTCTGAGAGGAGCCTAAATTGATAAAAGGCTGCTGGATGGTTGACAAGTGTCTCCTGGAGAACATATGGCCTTCCTTTTCCTCTGGTGTTCACTGAGCTATTTACAAGATGGATAATTACCCACTGATAGTATCTCAGATGATATTATACAGGAAGTGGAGATATTTCCCTTGTAAGGAGCATGAAGTTCAGGGAGAGCCCCTCCTTTTAACAGCAGAAGGAAGGACTGCTAGGAACAGCAGGTTCCTCAGATGGAGAATGACAGTTTATAAAGAGCAAAACCTAGCATAACAGTGGCAGTGAACAACTTCCTGAGAAGGGAGGAGACAGGAAGTGGACAATGTGAAAAGCATGATAGGAAAGAAGGCAAAATAAACCACGTGCAAGAGGACAATGAAAGCAAAAAACAGGAAAGGAACAGATCTTGAAAGCTGGGCCAGCTGAAGACATGTGCCACCCAAGCTGGGCACAAGATGTTACTCAAGGAAAACTGCATGCTAAGGGCATGCTAACTGACAAGTACTCTTGCCACAATCTGCCTTCATGCTTTTCTTCCAGGTGAGGAACAAACCGCCATACATGTGTAGCAGTGGTCTGTGCTTCAAGGATACGCTGACCTGGGGGATCTGTCCATGCATTAGGTCAACCCTCCCCTGCACCTCAGGGAAAAATTACTGATGTAGCTCTGAACAGGTAAGTGCTCCTGTTACTCCTCCCCATACAAACAAGGCTTGGAAGAATCACCAGGAGGCAGGAGGATCTCTCAGCTTCATCCATGCTTCGCAGCATTCACTGAAAGCTGAGCCCAGTTTCTCAGCCTGTGGCTAGAACGCTTCCATACTTCCATGTCCTGAGCACCAGGAAGCCCGGCACCGTCATGTTCTATTTCACTGAAGGGGTGCCTACTTTTCTGTTTCTGCCTCTTTCCTTTACATTATGTGGTACTGAGGAGGCGCATCACCAGCCCTTAAACAAAGAGACAATCCATGATCAGGAGGTGATAGAAGTTTCAAATGAGGAACCTACAAATCACTAAACACTGTTCAGTGGTATCATATCCACCTGAGACAGGGAACAAAATAAAAAAT